TTCCCTTATTTATCACCAGTGATAAAAACAATTAGATTATTGGCAATCTAATAAACATCTGATGTGCGTATGATCTTTATTGCTTTTTTTAAAAATTGCTTTTCAAGAACCAAATTTAAAATAAAATTCCAGCAGTGAGAATAGACAGAAAATATTGCGTGATGGCATTAAGTAACAACAGGTTGAAATGTGTGTGATTTTGAGGACTTTTCCTTGTGGCAGCTTGCAAAGAAAACCTTTGGTTCAACTTAAAGTCAGAAGTATAAGTAAGACATCAACACTGACTTCAACTCAACAAATCTGGATGGTTTTATCAGAGAGAAAAGTCCTCAAATTATGTGTGTCAGTGGCTGAAATATTTCCACAAGATAAAGACAAGAAAAAGTTAAGGCTGAACACAAACCTCCCTGCAGGTACAATAAATTATTCTCACTGCCTGTTATCAGTTTTAGGCTTCTGAGAGATTTCCAAACCTGAGGGGCTGAAAGATGGTGGTGGAGCTAAAACGGGCAACTTTACATTTTGTTCATTAAAATATGATACATTTAATGTCACGACTACTAACCAGGGATTTAAAAACAATCAGACTCACCCTGAAGAGATTAAATTACATTTTATGTCATCCTGTGTTCCTTTGGTTGTCATTTGATTTTCACAGTTCACATTCATATGATAACTTCACAGTTATCATATTGTGGTTATTTATAAGATTAAACTTAAATTTGACATCACAGTAGCACAATAAGACCAGAAAAGTAGACAGTAACAAGATACAGAGAAAATTCTCTCTATATACACACCAGCCTATAGAGATAACAAAAAATCTAAGAGAGGAAGTTATATACAGATACCAACATTTCAGAGGGAAACATGTACTTTTTACTTCACTATATTTATCTGATGGCTGGAGTTAATCTTAAAGGTCCAGTGTATAACTTTGTAACAAAGTGAGATTTTGACTGCAGGACTTTTACTTGTAAACTAAGCTAGGGGCTCAAATGCTAACAGAGCTAATCAGCCATGAGGACAGCTGCTGTCAGACTCTCTGTGTCCGCGATGCAAACACAGAGAGTCTGCTGGAGCTTTGACAGTCACTAGAAGCACATTCATGGCTGTTTGTAAACGTTTCTGAGTGGTACTTGTGTAGTAAAATTAGCTAAGTTACATTAGTTAGGCTTTCTGTCAGTAGAGGGCAGTTGCTGTGAATTTTTAGAGCAGAATATGTAGAATTTAAATACTTTTGGGTTTAGTTAAAAGGATCTGAATTCTTCCTCTATACTGTTTTTAAGTTGCAGCCTCTTTTAGAAGTAAAACTCCACAAGGGTTCTCATTTTGAAGGCTTTTCTGTTTCCATCCTTCTGAGGACTTTTTTGCTTAAATGGATCCAAACTTCACAGGTTCACATGGAAAAATTCTTTTAGTAAAATTTAAAGTCTGTTGTATGTGGAAATTTAATAACTCAAAAGTCTTCTCATGCAAATTTAAAAAAGATACATCAGATGGAAGGGAAACCTGAAATACACCTGATTGTCACTGAAACTAGTCGGTAAAGACGTTCATCTCTTTGTCCACTACAGAGACAGATGTGGGTGTTTAACTCAGCTACAGAAATGTGAAAGACCACACATCCCAAAGCTCCAAATGATCCAGAGATAACAATGCAGAGAGGAAGTGTGGTAATCTTTCTTCTCCCGTGTGGCATCATTATGACTCTCGTGGCTCTGTTGGTCGAGTCTCCACAGATTTTCCATTCTCTTTTGTGATTTGAAATAAAGACCTGAGTTGAGAAGTCAGCCTTTCGAAACACTGGTTGCAAAACACACCAGCTGCACATGAACCAGAACGAGTTGGGAAACTGGGTCACTTTGGCTCTCTAACTAAACTAGCCTTCATATTGTCATCATAAATAAAAAAACATGAAACGGATTCTGATGAACTGTCATGGTTAGTGCTAACCACTGTGACAAATATGTTCCTGCCACTGTTTCACAAGAAAACTCACTGTGTTACGCTGAATGCTTTTAATGTGAAGCGGCAGCATTAGGACATGTTTTGTTAGCTTTAGCAGAACATTAATCCGGCTCTGAGGCTGATGAGATATTTCTGACAATCCTTTTTTTGTTTCCATTATTATAAGCTACAATTGTTTATCTTTTCATATACAGCCTATTATGATCTCTGTATTTGGCTCATTTAAATTTGTTTTCATTGTTATTGTTGGAGGTAAATAACAGAAGCACTTCTTTATACTTACTGTAAGTACTTTTTGTGAGTTGCTGTGTTCTGGAGATATTGGCTGTAGAGATATTTGCTTTATCTCCAGTATAATAGAACCAGCTATGTCTCGTTCCAGAAAGCACTACATGGTCACTCAAGATAATCCACAGATTTTGTTGTGAGCAGTTTAATGTAGGAACTATTTGTCTGATCTGAATACTTGCTCCACTACTACAAACTACATCCATCAAAATGATCAGAGAGTTGAATTAACACCTCCTTAAAACTGAATATTAACTTTCATTAGGATTTATTACAGGATTGTTGTATTAGACTGCATTAGTTATAGCCAGGTGCACCTGATAAACTGAGTGAAATTAAAAACAGTAACTCATTTCCTGTGAATCCCCTCATGCGTGTGAAAGCAATTTGAATCCAGTATGGGAATGGCGGAAAGACTGCCACTAACAATGACAACTACTATGTAGAGATATAGAAAGGCAATTATTGAATGTAATGGCAATTAGGGAAGAAAGAAATCAAACACTACAAACCATAAACAGGATTATAAAGAAGGAATATGACTTTAAATAATAAAGTCTAGCTTTATAAAACAGTCTGACACATTCACATAGGCCGCCAGAGCAGCGTGTGGTGTCTACAGCTGACATGCAGCTGTCACATACACTTTTCTTTGTATAATGTCCATGAAAAATCTAAATTTTCACGTCAATTAACTTACAATGCCATATATATGTAGTTTAAACATGAAGAATGGTAACCAGAAAGCAGCATGTGTGGAGAGAAAGAGAGAGAGAGAGAGAGAGAGAGAGAGAGAGCAGTGGAAAGATACTGCCCTTCAACCGGTTCACTTCTGGATATTTTTTCACAATTGAAGTTGCGTTAAATAAAATATTACCTCAGTGCTTTTACTTTGAAAAGGAAGTTGAAACTGTACTGAAACCTCGACTCTCTAGCGAAGTGTTGCTGCAGTGTGACTGCTCTAATCTGTTAACATGGATGCTGAAATAAAACGTACATGCCACGCAGACGCAGGCGGCGTGCACCACAGGTAAATTGAACTACTCTTACACTTGGCGGGCACGGTGTTGACGGGACGGGAGGATGAAGTCCGGGGAAGGAGATGGTCAGTTCGGTCTTATTCACCAGCAACAATGACTGATCGATGAATCCCAGTTGACTGGGTTTCTCTCTAGTTGATGAATGAAAATGTTGGTGGTGATTCTCATCTCTTCATCAGCATGGATCTTGAATCAATCCACATCTTCGTCATCGCATCTTCCTAAGGGAAACTTGAAACAGTTAAAAAAGGCACCCAGGGAAGATTCATTTGTGGGACGTTGAAGACAAACTGTAGCTAGCTAGCAAAGGAACCATCATTTTAAACCCGCCAAAAAAAACAAAAAAACAGGACGAAAGTATCAGAGGATTGTTGCAACACGGACCTTTTTCTCTTGTAACACAGGGAGTCAATATGCTAACTGTACTAGCTGCTGCCATTAGTTCGTTAGTGGTCGTTTTAGCTGTCTGTACCTGGACTGGGAGCTCGAAGGACAGGGGGAGTTATTAGGGTAGGAGCAGCGGCTGACTTCCAGAGGCTCCAACCAGGACTCTGACTCTGGGGATGAAGATATGGCGGGTTCAGGTAGTGACAGGAGAGGAAAGAAACGAGGAAGAGGAGTTGGTTCATTTGTAATTTGTAAGTAACTATCAACGTTATCCATCATCCATTGTATAGATAAGTCCGGCAGTATTGGTTTTTGTGAAGTTGGAAGTTATTTATTCCGTGTTTTGAACCACAAGACTTGAACTAAATGTTCAGTCTTCTACTTTTGGCACATTCTGAATCATTACTGCTTTTTAGTTATCATTCAACAGGCGGCTGTTAAAATATATATACACTCCTGAACAAAATCTTAAGACCGGGAGAAAAATTACAAGTATTCGCATTTCGTGTTGGTGGAACATAACCAGATTGTAAGTAGAATTCAAAATGCCAAAAGAAGAAACAGGAGCAAGAGACAAAACAATAGAGGAGGCAATTTATTGAAAATTGCATTTAAACTCAAACAGGCTGTTCATCAGCTGATCAAAAGTTTAAGACCATAGCCTTAAAAAGTCCAAATCTGTGCAAAAATCTGGCTTTCATGTCATTTTCTATCAGGCATTCACACTGTCATGGCCACCTGATGGCAAAGGCAAAAAGGCTTTCAGTCTTTGAATGTGGCAGGATTGTTGAGCTGCACAAGCAAGGCTTCTTGCAACGCGCCATTGCTGCCGAGGTTGGATGCAGTAAGTCATTTTAAATTTCTTAAAAGATCCTGAGGATTATGGGACAAAAAGGTCAAGTGGTCTTAAGATTTTGTTCAGGAGTGTATATACAGGCTAAATAGTTTAATTAATATCATTAATGTGTGATGACTAGTCGACTATTGGCTTCATCTAACTACTGGTCAACTAGAAATATATAATGTCTGTGGCAGCCCTAAAAACTCCTCAATTCAGAACCACATAGATCACACCTTTGTGTAATGTTAATAGCAATTATTCTATATATAATATTTCTTTTACACTAACTTTAATGGTTCTTCAGGCTTGTACCGGGAGAACACACACACACACACACACACACACACACACACACACATACACACACACACAGAGACTGTGCACACATTGGGAATGAGCTCCACACACACACACACACACCATAGGATTTTAACACCTCCTACTTGACTCCGTGCAGCCGCAGAGCTGTTACCTAGTTACAGGCAAGAGACGGTGCGACCTGCGCGCTGGTGACTTTCAGTGCATCAGTCTGTCCGAGAACAGACGGAGGAAAAACTCAGCCACAAACACACCGGAGAACCGTGAGGGACTGTTTGACACGCTGAGGATGAAAATAAAACCCGTCCTGACAGGGAATAAGCGAAGTGCAGCTGCTCTTTATCTCCTCTCGCGTTGTTTCATCAATTAAATCCTAAAATCACCGGACGGGACCGGGATCGGGGGAAAGATTGGTTTTTAAAAGTCTAAAGCTTTAAAGGTAAGTTGAAAGAGTACATGCAGTTTTATTTTACACCAGGTTTTATTAAATCCGCTGGAGCTTTGCAGAAAATGAACCAGCAGTAAGTGGCTGTGGAGGACTGATGTGACCGTCTCTCGTCTCACTTGGGATCGGTTTACCATCAAGACCAAGAGTGGAAACATGTAGACTTGAACTAAACATGTAATTACCCCCAGAGGCGGGTTTTTAAAACGTTTTTCACATTTTTAAATGAGTAAAAATGTTTAAGGAGCCTATTTTAAAGCCCTGATTCTTGAAAAAAGAACAAGCTGTACATTGTTGGTAGGTAACCTACATGTCAAATAAACAACTTTAAAAAATATGATGTCAAATAATAGCCACCTCTCAGGAGCAAGACCTCCAGCCTTAAAGAGACACAAAACATGCTTTTTGTGGTCCTTATGTGTCTCTTTACTTGCAAGGTAAAGCCCATCAGCCTCCTAATAAACCATCTGAACTGAGAGAAATAAGGGGGTTTAAAAACTAAGGTAGCTTTGATAGAAAGTTTATTTTTTATATATAAAGTAAGCAGTCCAGAACTGAGTCGATTAATGTTCTTAAAAGCTGATGTAGTGTAGGGCTGCACAATTAATCGAATTAGCAATATGCAAATTGCAGAAGCTGCAATGTTTTGTTAAAGGTACAATATGTGACAAAACAGTGTTATAATGAAGTGTTTGTAGTTCTGAAGAGGGACCCTGGTCTACAAATCTTGTACAACTCATTTAAGAAAACATGTCTGTTTGGTACAGAGCCCAACAAATGTCACATCATCATCATTTTAATAGTTTTTTTTGGGTGAAAATTAAAGTTGTGATGCATAAATGATGAACACTAATCAGGAATCATATCGCAATATCTGCCAAAATAATCCCAATTTGATGTTTTTACCATTTAGTTTAAGGACGTTTTTCAAGGGGGGTTTCTCTTAATAGAGCCACATATCTATTAATATATTTTTTTAATAAGTTCATTAATATGTGCTGCATTCAGAGAGACAGACTCACCTGATTGTTAAACATAATTAAGATATTGGCACAGTAACTTAATCTCCCTTTCTGTTTGTGCGTCAGTGAGAGACAGAGTGTGTTTGTTTTATATCACACTATAAAGTAGTTGTACGCAGATATTTTAAGTGTTTAATCATGTACTGTATTGGTCAATAATTACAATAATCATTTCTCCTGTCCTTTGAAGATATATTTTAGTTTTTACACTTGTTTATTACTATATAAATGTCTTCATATCTGCTTGCAACAGCATCATAGTGGATCAATTCATTAAATGTTGATATATGTTTCTAAAAGCTAAACAATGAGAAGTAATTAAATGATTATAATTAAGACATGTCAATAATTTTTAATGAGTAGATAAGGCTCAATATATTTTAATCTGTATCCTCTACATCTCTGGTCTTTTTCTTCTGCTGCCTTGATACTAAATTGATTTAATCTGTGTAATTCTTTATTATATAGCAGCAGTGGATATTTTTATCTCTGAGGGTTTCAGATGACAAACGCTGATAACAAGTAGTGAAAAACATACTTGTAGCTGCAGGAAGGTTTGTGTTGGACAGACGTAACTGAAAAATCAAAAATGTTTCAGCCACATTTTGGATAACAGACCAAAATAGCAACTCCCCCACCAGAAGTGGATAATCAGTATTATTATACACTTCATCTCAATTATTAATGTTTTTGTTTAATCATTCATTTACACACAAGAGCTTTGATACGCTGCATCTTGTTCTGACAATCATATCATGTGAGAGAAAACATGTTTTTTTCCCAGAAAAAAAGTCCCCCTGCTGTGTTTATGACAGCCTGAGCGTGATTACCAGCTGACATGATTTGTTCTGTTCAGTTCAGTTCAGAGGAGCAAAACAACATAACGGTCCCCTCCATGTGAAGCCACTTACGTTGTAAAATGCTCCATCTTTATGCTGCATTTAATAATATTATAATAATAATAAAACAAACAAAAAAAGAAATTAATTGTTCAGATATTATTCAATGTGTGATCCTGGAAGTTGAGATTATAATGAATTCAGACACTAATAGTAAAATTATGCCATCAGCTGTGCATCCATAAAGTGACACACACACACACACACACACACACACACACACACACACACACACACACACACACGTAGTTGCCACAGGTGGGAAGTTAATCAGTCCAACCCACAGCATAATTTCAAACCAAATTGCCTTTTAAGAGGTGAACAAGGCAGAGAGGCAGTTAAATTTCATAATCTGGTGCATTGTCGAAGAAAAAAAAGCAGCGTTTAGGAATAACTTTACTGTATTTAGCTACATTTAAACAGGTGGAGGTGTTGTTTCTTCTTTAGTCAGTTAGAGCTCCAGTGTGTAGGATTAGTGGCATCTAGCGGTGTTATTGCAGATCGCCATTTTCACGCGTCACCCTGCCCTTCCAAGCGCAAAGAAGAAACTAAAGTGACTGCGAAACAGATAAAAAGATTAAATATGGTGGACTCCATGGAAGGCGACCCTGTAGATATAAAACGCTTCTGCCAGTAAAACCACCACTGGACCTTTAAAGCTGTTTTTATTCAGTCATAACAGGACATTCAGAGTGTGCTCGTTTGGCACCTGGTGAGTGAGAGGAAGCAGAATCACTGCTGGAAATCAGCGACGAGTCGCAAAGTTAAATCATGTGAAGGAAGAAGAGGTTTCTGTCCTCGCACAGGCTGCTTCACTGATGGATCTCACAACTTATTTTGCTGTTGAAGCCTTAATTAACAACCATCGTGAGTGCGAGGGACACTCAGCGGGCTTGTTCGGAGCAGGCTGATTGTTTGGCCCTCAGAAGTGCTGCCTGCAGGGTTGTCAAGAACCGTGGTTCGACACTGCACTCACTACACCCGCCAAGTGTGAAGTCCATCAGACGAACAGTTCTCGAGATATGTAAAGGACATTCATACACATACGTGAATGTCTTCCTTTATAGTTATAGATGATGCAGCTGCAGCGCCACCTATTGGCCAAATGTCACCACATTTGTCATGTTCACGTAGACATAATATCTACACATGTACATCAAATGTGGTTGCAATAGCACAAAGTGTTCAGGACATTTTTTATAAAGTAACTTTTGTCCAGCCTGGTCCAGAGATGTTCTGTACCGCAGAGAAATAGCAAAAAAAGACCTGTTAAAGTTTTAAAATTGCTGAAAATCGATCTGGATGTAAAATTTAGTTTCAAAAGTTAGATGCCTAAACATAAAGTTTGTTGTTGTAGCACCTTCATCCGGCCAGATTGCACCATATTTGACACAGTGCGTCCTTCGGTCCTCAGCATTTAGTTAGAGCCAGGCTAGCTGTTTCCCCCTATTTCCAGTCTTTGTGCTAAGCTAAGCTAACTGGCTGCCGGCTGTAGCCTGATATTAACATGAGAGTGGTATCAATCCTCTCATCTAACGCTCCTCAAGAAAAAAAAATTGTATTTTGCAGTACTGCTGGATATTTATTGATTCATGCATGAATAAAAATATACTACAGCTGATTGAATCTATTGTCTCACACTGAGAGGGGACCTGAGAAGAATCTAAACCATCTCATTTACAGTCTTTCACAGTTCACTTAACTCATTTTATTTTATTTTGAGTATCACAGATCACTCTTAATCAGGTGATCAGCGTGTATGTTTAATCTCTCTTTTCATAATTCACCTTGTGCTGCTGCAGCTTTTATGTTAATCTGACGACATTCAATTCACACACTGAGTTTAAAGTGATACAGGTGCGACCTTGTCAGATTGCTGTTGCAACTAAAAGTAACTCAGACGCTCATTCAGACACAAGATTGACGTGTTAAATTGGCGTCACATTATGCATAGGTGGATAAAGAGGCTTTTGTTATCCGCCTCCTCTTGAAAATGAAGCTGGAACAAGAAAACATTAATAGGTACGCAGCATATTTCTATCCCGCTAAAGCTTTCCTTCATTCAGCCCTTGAGATTGGCATCTAGCTCACACAGAGGAACCCGTACAAGACAAAGGTCAGCAAAGCTTAAAACTAAATCTGATGCCAGACTGTGTGTGAATTCACTGGGTTCATTAAGTCGCTCTGACTCACGAGCCCAAAGGAGAAGTCTTCTTCACTCCTCTAAAGCCTCAGAATGAATGAATGAATTTTCATTTTAACATCAACATTAAGATAATAACTAAATCAACATACGATCATCTTGAGAATTTATCAAGAATTAAAGCACTTAAGTGTCAGCAGGACTTGTCGATAAGTTGATCTTTAGGCTTGACTGCTGTAATACTGTCTTATCAGGTCTCAGACAGTTTCCAGTGGAGGCTTAAATGGTTGAATGGATTAGTTATCAAAAGGAGATGAATAGCCTAAATTTGATTTGGTTAAAGAGTTCAGAGATACAGTAGTTTTTGAGAATTTGACTGTTTTTTCTACTTTCCAAGAGTCAGAAAGGGCGAGGTTGCGATCGCAACAATTAACAAATTCAACCAATGTCCATAAATTCTGCATGACGTTGCAATTTTGTCCAATCATTGTAGTTTCCTGTGAGTTTCACCAATCATAGTGGTTTGTGCAAAACGCCATACGTCACCAAACTACTAGCAGTTTTATTCTCACTGGAAAAAGTTAATCGTAAAAAATAAATCGTAACTATTTTTGCATTTTTCAGGCAATTTTATTTAAACAAAAAATGTGCAAAACATTATCACATGCATTGCAGTTTTTCAGACCACAACAATCACAAAAAACACAAAAACCTAAAAGGACTGAAAGTCTGAACTAGTGTCATACAGCAACGTTAGGCTATCTTGGCTCAACTGTTGAGTGTCAGTGGGCTCAAAAGATAGTAAACTAACCTTTCTTTATGAAATGCATGATTTGTGTTTTGATTTAACATATTCTGTCAGCCAGTAAAATTACATCATCCACGTGTAATAAAATAAACTAAACTATACCTTAATTAGCTTCCTTATTC